TTATATTTGTGCATTTAATTGCACTGAGGTCCTAACAGGTGTCAATCAGATGTGTAAAGATTAATAACATTCCAGTAAGTGTGTTAATGGGAGAATGTTGTTTCTTGTACCAGTGTCGTTAACGTTAACATTTCATACACTGACGGATTATCTTTTAATGAGATCCAATGAATTAACCACAGCAGACGTTCCGTTCTGTTGCACAAACAGTTGACGCAGCTTCCACTCAGACGACCATGAGCCTAATGTCCATTTAAATGACTCCTCTCCATTTTCTGCAGCACTGATCTCCTGATCGACTTTTAATCGTGTGACGGAAACATTCAACACATTTAGAATAAATACAAAACAGAACTTTGCTGTGTGAAGTTTAGTTTTTTGTAAATACTAACGTTGGTATCACCACCAACAGGGGACTCAGTGCAGGACTCTTAAGAGATAGAAATATTTTTCTAAAACTATTTTTTCGTGAACTGAACAAGCCGAACTTCTCTGAACGAGGATTCATCGGATGCTTTCAGAGCGACACAGGTTTTTGATCGCTGGTGTAAACTTGTCCCTGTGTCCTCCCAGGCTTCCAGTACACCAAGTACGGGTGTCGAAAGAAAGGCGACACCAAGATGGTCCACCGAGGCTACTGCGACGCCAACAAGAAGCCGAAGCCCATCCGCAGAATGTGTAACCTCCAGGACTGCACGCAGCCGCAGTGAGTACAGTCCGCACGACTCCCCGAGCCGTGACTCCCCCCGTTCACACTGGGACTGAGCCGCGGTCTGAAGAAGACGAAATGTCAGTGAGCGTCTTCGTCACTGTCTCGAGGCTGTTTGAGTCCGAATGGATGAAAATGAGCAGCTGACGGCAAAGAATCTGCTTCTGTGTGATCAGGATGTCAACTGAAGCTCAACGCCAGCATCGACGTGGATCTTTTGTGTGTGTGTGTGTGTTCAAGCACTTGATGGTAGAAGGAGGATTAGAACAGCGGGAACCAGGATATCTTGATATAAATAGCCGGCTCTCAAGTGTTAATCAGGCCCCGAAGAGTGTGAACAGATTTCACTCTACGATCAACATCTGGTGCTCAGTTGGTATCGAGGTGGAGGTCATGAGTGACGTATGAGAAACTCTGAGTGACGTGTCTGTCAATAGAAGCGTATCAGGTTCGTGTGGTCGTCAGATTTAAAACTCTTCATTCTGTCGTCACGCGTCTGAACTCCCGGCACCTCGGCGTCCCCGTTCGAAATTCAATCACGTTGAGGCTGAATTATTGAAAGTGAACTAACCCGAGGAGCTGTAACCCTCCGAGCATTTTCTGTAAACACAATATTTGCTCCCTGAGTTTGGAATAATTGAATAATTATTGTTTTTTGGGGAGATTTCAGTTTTCAGTCGCCCCGTTTCCCAATACTGATGATTAATGTCAGAGAAACCGTGTTTTTGGTTTATTATCATAATTTTAACTGGACAATTAATGTCTAATCCAACTAATAATAAAATTCTAATCATGTAGAAAAAGTAATTGGTTATTTAAATTGCCTAAAGACGAGGTCCTGTGTTATTGGTTAAAAACGCAGTGGATAGTGTAACAAAGGAAATTCATGACAACTGCATGAATATCAAATGGCAGAAACTCTGATTTTAGCATAAAAGACAAACTGAATCTGAAAACCAACGTTAATTCAGATGAATTCCTGTTTCTGCTTCGGTCGAGTGTTGTCGAACAAAAAACGCAGAGAACGTCTTCAGCGGTTTCCTCCTAGAGTCGTTCTCGTCTCCTCATTGTTGTTGTTACGCTTCATGTTGTTGCGAGATGGACTCAAACCCTCGGAGGCCGAGAACAGGTCAACAACGAGAGGCTCAGGCAGCGAGCCCCCGGACAGGTTCTATCTGTGCATCCTGTCAGCGCGGCAGGTCAGGAGAGTCGTGCCGTGAGGGATTCATCCGGTTTTTTTGTGTGTGGTTTAAATAAAAAAAGAGACGGTGAGAAACACAGTGGAAATAACACCTCAGCTGTATTTGGTGGGGGGGGGGAGTAAAGAGGAAAATTGTGATGAGACGAATGTGTCGGCTGAGCGAATGCAGGGTCATGACAGAAAAAGGCCTGTGGGGGAGAGAAGTGCTTTGAAAGAGGAGATGGATGAATATAAGCTGATTAGTGGTGGAGGATATAAACCACCAAAGATGAGAGGGAAGTTCAAAACCCTCCGCCCCGAATCTCAAATCTGCACGAGGCGGCCGCACGAGGTGACTGGCCGACTTCATTTATCAGACCCGGCTGCTGCGAGCGAGCTTCACAGAGCCCGGATTTACAGAACGTGGCGAAGGCAGGTGGAGAAGAGCAGAGAGCAGAATCCAAAAGACTTTACACAACCAAGGCTGACAGGCGTGAAGAAAACTCACAACTTCAGCCAACAGACTGTGGGAAGAAGTCAGGGACATGAGGACACGAACTAACGAGCTTCCTGGTTCATTCGATAGTTTCACTCTGTCATCACCTGCTCTTTACTTGACTCTGATTGGTCGACAACAGTCTCTTCGGAACTTAATGACGGGGCAGAATCGTGACAACGTCAAATCACAAGAAAATCCACATTTTACAGACTGCAGAAAAGTATTTTTGTATTTAATACTTCCTGTTGTGACGTGCAGGTTTATTTATTTCATGATCTCGTGTTTTCTCGTGTCGGTTCTGTCTTCTCGAGAATCTTTCCCACCTTCCGGTACTTCCTGCGTGTCCTCAGTGATCTCCTCGTGTTTGCTCAGGTGGATCTCGGACGATTGGGAGTATTGCACCAAAACCTGCAGCAGCCTGGGTTTTCAGATCCGGACCGTTCGCTGCGTGCAGCTGCTCCACGACAGCGCCAACCGCTCCGTCCACAGCAAGTACTGCAGCGGCGAGAAGCCCGAGAGCCGGAGGCCGTGTAACAGAGTCCCCTGCCCCGCTCAGTGGAGGACCGGAGCCTGGTCAGAGGTTCAGTATCCACATGATTCATATTTACTGCAACTCCTCATTCTTTTGTTTACTCTTCTTGTTTTCCATTAACTGACGTCAACTTCTTATCAGCACTTTCACTTCGGCTTTGAACCTCGAGACACATTTCTGAATTTATTTTTGTAAAGTTTTCCCTGAGAGGATTTGGGCTTCAGCTCTCAGGTTTGCTCTATTCATGTCTACTCCACGTTCACATTTCCATCACAGAGGACAGAAAACACAAAGTCCTCAAACAGTCTGGGACGTATCGAGACACAGCTCCACCAAAGACTCGGTGTTTATTCGCTGCTTCCACTGAATCCATCCTGCGATTGTTTGAACAAAACACAAACGCCCACGATTCAAGGTCTTATATAATTTTTCTTCTCTACTTCTAAATCAGGTTGAGCTTGTTTCAGACGTCCTCTCACGTCTGGAGGCAAAAATATTCCGACTGCACTTAAAGCGGCTGCTGTCTCGAGGACACGTTCCAGAGTCGCAATTTAACAACTCAGAAATACAAGAGGTTGCATTTATTAGTGCCCAAAATAAAAACGGAAGTCCTGTTAATGATAAAACAGAAGGAAGAAACGAAACTGGGTTTCACTTCCGCAGACCTGGTCAAAGAGAGTGGACGTTCCTCTGATTAACAACTGAAGAAGTTGGATGTAGTTCTTACATTTCTTTGAGAGTTGTGCAGAGTTCCAGACATTTTGTTGTGAAGGTGATTTTTATTTGGAATTTCATCTCGTTCGCTCTCACTCTGACATTTACTCTTCCCTGAGCCGCCGGCTTCGTTTCAGCTGTGGCCTCCCTCCGTCATGATCCGCTGCTCGTGAGTGAGTGTGTGCTCCCTGTCGTCCTCAGTGCTCCGTGACCTGTGGAGAGGGGATGGAGAGGCGTTTGGTCACCTGCCGAATCGGAGATCAGTGTAACGGAGAGAAACCGGAGAATGTGAGACCCTGCAGACCCGGACCCTGCCACGGTGAGAACGTCAGAACCGAAGCAGAGAGGAAGACGCTCGAATGTGCACCAGTGTCGTTTTGGATCAGGCTGAGCCACGTTTGTTAGAGTTTCCCTCAAAAGACTAATCCAGGATCTTTAAAGAGATTAATCTTTAACACCGTCTCCGCCCCGTGTTTGGAACCGTTGCAGCTTCTCTCTGAGTGTTTGGGTTTGATTCAAGCTGGACTCTGTCCCACTGTGATCAAGCCCCACGTTCCAAACTGTTCCCAGGTCTGAGCCTCTCACGTGTCACGTGCACGCTGAGTCTGCTGCGTTTCATTTTTCTGTTCGATCTGAAAGTGTCACTCGGAGATAGAGGACGTCCAGTTAGATTCATCGAGACGAAAAACAAATTTACTGACGGACGAAAGTTTCAGACACAACGTGAGGTCGTGTTTATTTATTAAACGAGATTCAATGGAGTCAAAACTAGTTTTTAACTTTAAGCTGCCAGTTTAAGATTCTGAACTCTTTTGTTTGTTGTGCAGCGGAGAACTTGTTTTATTCGTGGTGAGAGTTTTCTGGTTCTGGGGAAAGAGGAGAAGCTGTAAATCCGTTCAAACATCACCGGGTGTTTATCTTGTAGGAAAACAAACGCTCTGGCGTGAGAGGCTCAAACTGCAGCGTCGTTCATTCGCTATGTTCACTTGTGTAAAGCTGAGTCACTGCTGCACTGAGCTCTCGGCCTCTTCTTCTCAGAACCGTAGTCCCCCCAGCCCTTTGCTCTGTGTGCAGGACCTCAGCTCTGTCACTCACTGAGCTCACCCTGTTTGCTCTTCAACTTTCAGATGAGCCATGTAATGGGGACAAATCCATCTTCTGCCAGATGGAGGTCCTCGCGCGGTACTGCTCGATTCCAGGCTACAACAAGCTGTGCTGCGACTCCTGCAGCAGGCGCAGCGGAGCTCTGACCTTGTTCTCCGAGGCGGCTGAGATGGAGGAGCACGTCCGCTTCGGATCGGCCTCCCAGCTGCTCGAGACCTTAACGGCGTCCGTCGCAGGCAACGGCACTCGCGGCGGTAAACAAGGCAAAGGGTCCGTCACGTCGGGCAACGCTGCGAAACACGCCACCACCCCTGCTCCGTTCAAGAAAACCCCGCCAAAGGTCTCCACGCCACTGAGACGGGTTCCGCGACACATGGCTCTCACTGGCAGGAAGCTGCCCGCCATGGCAACGTCTCCCCTGGCGGATCCCGGCGAGGGTCACAGGTCGAGCAGCTCCACGGATCGTCGGCGGCCAACGGCGTTTTCCGAAGTGGAGAGATGAAAGTGAAGCCTTCCCCTCGGGACTCTTTATGTACAGAACATCATCCGGCTTCATCCTGAGTCGTCTCACGCCTAAAAACCCCACAGAGAAAAGTGCTGGTTCACTTTGTTAAGAATTTCCATTCCTGCCCCTGAGCTCCCGCAGTGAACCAAAGAAGGTGTGTGACTTCACCTTCACGCTGAATATTTAGATGAGAAACAAATTTGATGGAATTATTTCAGGTCACGAGGACCGAGGGGAATTTTCAGCTGAGTCAAATGAAAAGCTGAAGGAGAGGAAACAGCTTCGGTGGTTCAGGGACACAAAATAACCAAAGGACAGTTTAATATTCAGAAGACGCCCGTTCCCGCTGCACTCTGTCCAAACCTGTTGTGTTTATATTATGATAAAAATCTTTACTCCAGTCAGTCTCTTGACTTTTTGACCCCCGCGAGTGGCGACGGGCGCAGGACGGCGTCTGCGTTTCCTCTCTGATTGGTCTCTTCTCTGCTCTCGTCCCCTGGTGTTGGGTCAGCGGGGGGGATGTCACAGGTGCAGATTCAGTTTGTCGAACACACAGAAAAAAGAAAAAAAAAAAGAATCCAGGACAGAAATAGAGTCAGAAACGATGCACTTGTCTTCTTGCAAAAGAAAATCCCAAAACAACCTGAGCATTAATTCTTTTATTCGTCAAATCTTATTTTAATAACGCTTGGTTCCTCTGGGTCGTGTCTGCAGATCGCAACTGGGAATTCTTTTTAAAGAACAGATCATCTGATGCAGCTGAAAATCCCCTTTTACTTTAATGCTACAGCCATTTTCTTGCCAAGATATTCAAATACAGTCGTGTGCCAGTTGTTGTGCTCAGTGCACATCCAGAGTCAGACGTTTGACCAGAATGCACCAGTGAACACCATCAGAGAAATGGTTTTAGTTGTATAGTTGTTGTTTTTTTATATCCAGCAATGTCTGTTGAGTGGCACTCTTTATTTTCTATGGAAATGGG